CCATGAGTGGCAGGTGGCTGAATTTTACGGAGACTTGCCACGTTCTCCAACCCTCCTCCTTTCTCATCCGTGCTTGGGACCGGCCATGGCGGAGTTTGATGTGTAACATATAGCCTATAACTGTAATGAAAAAGACTTAATGTGGTCATATTTAAGGTGTTATTCATCTTCCTCAAGGTCATTGTCTTTGATCAGTATATTCGTTGGATATGATTCCTTAGCATTCTTATAATGCAAGGGTGCTGAAGTTTGACTCTTTTCGAAGCTTCAACTTTACCAGTTCGTGTCGTCGACTAATCGCCTTACGATCGAGCTTGCAATAATATCTAACGAGACAAACGTAGCTGATTGACTGTGCTGGACATCAGCCGACTATCAGATGCGTAGCGCTTCTGCCTTTTGGCAGAAACGCGAAACGATCGGTGCAAGACAAAAATGAGTTCATAGTTAAAGTATGAATCATTTGATCTTAAAATGTCTCGAGCGATCAGAGAATCAGTAGATATTACAAATGTTTGGTTTTCAAAGCAGAGACCAGCCATGAAAAAGTAAACTTTCGAGAAAGGTTTGATCATAACTGATGGAAAGCGGAACAGATCGACTATTCATTATGATCACTTTCGCGGAGCTTGCTTCGTCTTCCTATGATTTATTTTAATCCCTCTGCGTGGGAAGCGTTGAAATATATTTAAATATTATCATCTAAACTCAATTTTCAACATACTCCTTAAGAAGTGACAGCTGTGCTTCATTTTTGGCATTTCAATGCGAAACATTTCAAATGGATGTCAATAGGAGCGAAAAACGTTTTGGCTTATACTCGTTCATCTTCAAAAGTTATAACTTCAAAGTTTCAGGTCCTGATGCTCCATTAAAGAATCCTCGATCCTCCCACTAATTTCAATGGAATGTTCAACACGGGCGTAGTTTAGGTGGAATCTCTTCGGTTAGAAAATTTATTTCTTAAACCTTCTTCAGTTTCCTCCTTCCTAACATGTTGCCAAAGTATTAAGATGTGTTACACGCTTACGATAACCTGTTGTCCGTGCACTGTACCAATATGGAACTCGTACTTCATTTCAAGTACGAACTGATATTGAGTTGTAACGGCTTTCGTCCATAACCAAAACGTCGAAATGAAGTAAATTTTAACCATGGCTCGCTTAAAGTGTCCCCGCTCGAAGCTGGGGAATAGTGAGACTGCATCGCGAAAGTTAGAAGTAATCGCATTTTTATTTTTGTCAGTGGTATCAAAAGCGAGCAGTCTGTCATCCAGAATGCCAGGTATAAATCTTGTTTATATGCATTTTCGAGTATTGGCATTTCAGCTGATATTCGAAGAGATTTTCTGTTAAACCCGGCACAGTTATGCGACATTCTATCCAAGCACTGGAAGATGCTATAGCGTCGTAGAGCCGTGGTCTGCCTAAAGATTCCCTTAGGTCGTTACAAGCAATAATGCGGTGCTACTTCAGCGAGTGAATCTATACAAGGGATCGTTATTCTACCGAACGGAACCGAAAACTAGTAATCTGCTAATGAACCTAGAATCACCGGGGTTGATTCTTATATACAAATGTTATTTGCTTATTTCCGTAAATCTATTCTACTTCGTTCCAGCATCATTGATATTCTTGTGAGCTCTCGTTTTGCTCCTCTTCAGTTGTTCTCTAAAGATGCTTATGCATAAACGCAAAACTCTTGCATATCATGACTCACTGCTATGGCTCATTTCTTTTCAAATCAGCTTTTCAATTTACTTCACCGCTTCAATATTCTGTGCCTGGTTTACTTCCTACTGTATTACTTAGCCAATGATGCAGAGTTTCCAGTTTTCTTGAAATGGTATCAAGCCTATTTTCATTTACGTTCCTTCATTTGCCGCTGTAAACAGTCTTATAATCCCTGAATTTTACCACACCGTCCTTTGGATCTGTACAGCATTTCGCTTTGTTGATTGTCGGTCTGTATGCACAAAATTCGTCGTAAATTTGCAAATGCTTCTTCAGCTGGGTCATTCAGCTGTTGAAAGTTGCTTCGATCCCTTATGCAGCTTTTGCTCCCAGAGACTTTATTAACATTAAGATTTTCTGCACTTTGGAAGTATCTTATTTGCGCTAGCTTCATTGGTTTGAATGTAGTCTAACTTACCATTACAACAACAATTAACTGATCTTAGTCGCAAGGATTAACGATTAACGAGAATCACGTCTGCCTACTCTTAATGCATGCACCGGTCTGTCTCGTGTGATTTGTAGCTACAGGCCTCCATATCTCCCTGTTAGCTCACTGTCCCATCTGAACAGAGGTCTTTCAGTTGGGTACTTGCAGCCTTTTTGGTACCAGTTCGTCACTGCTGAAGCCCACCTGTCATCCATCAGTCGTGAGATGTAACCACTGTAATTCTAGAGCCATATGCGTGGGACTGTGGGCTATTTTTATTTGTGATTTCTTCTTCATTCGATCTTAGAAAACGGTTTTACCATTATCTACTTTTGAAAACTGAAAAATGCTTAAAACCGGCTTATTTATACGAGGCGAACAAATAAGTTAATCAATCAGGTGACTGGCTCGCCTCTCACGAGCCCTCTTCAGAGTGGTCCAGGTTGATTTCTGCAGCTAGTTGTGTGGTCTGTAGCTGTTGTAGCATCTGAAGCCGAAGGTGAATTTTTGACCAACGCTGCTGATTAATTACTTCTTGGTTCATGGGCCTGACAGGGCCTGTCCAATCCGCGCAGAGTTTGTATCCTTTGTCCTGG